TGCAGCCTGTTCTCTGTGGGCACAGCTGGGCCAGGAAGGAGCCCCGTGTCGCTCTCAGCACCAACCTGCTGGCCAGGGCTCTGCCCTCACTGTGGCAGGTGACCCCTGGGGCACTCGGGAATCCCGAGATCACCAGCCCGTCCCCACGCAGTGATGGGAGTCCACAACAATTACAGGCTTCCTGCGTGTCCTGCCTCTGGGGTTTTGTCACACATGATGTCCCACATCTGGGACTCACCAGTTGGGGATGGCAGTGCTATTTCCATGTCAAGCTGTAGCTTTTTTACCCCCAGCCGGTTCAGGCTTACAGCTATTGTGTGGGGTTTTCAATGTTGCAAGAATTTATATTGGGAAAAAAGTGCCTTTTTTTTTTTTCCCCCTCAATGCCTTGGGAAATGTCATCCAGCAGGAATGTTCCCAAAAGCTGATCATGGCAGAGAGGAGGATGGGCTCGAGCAGGGACTGCATGCCCAGCTCCCATCCCTGTCCCCAGCCTCCAGGGACCAGCTCCTTGGAGTGTTGCTCCCATGGGTGCCCCATCCCTGCTCCCCAGACTCTGCCCCGTGCTCCTGGGGGACCTCTGTAGCAGCAACAGCAGAGGCAGGAGGGAGGGAACAGATGCCTGGAGAGGGACAAGCTGCTCACAGAGCCACTCCTGCTGCAGAGGCTCTTGGTTTCATGTCCTCTTGGCTGTGCCAGTGGCCTCTTCCACTTCCAGCACTGGATGGAGTTTACAAGAAATGTTGGAAGTCCCAGCCCTGTGGTGTGTCATCATTCAAACTTCTCTTTAATAGTGTCCCAAAGTAATTTATTTTTCCCAAACATCAAAGCCCCCCGAGCAATGCTGAGAGAGGCAGGGCTTCCCCCCAAGCCCTGGCAGCTCCCACACACCCCTGCCCTGCTCATGGGGGCTGGACATCCTCCTTGGCTGTCCTGGGGTGACCCACAGTCTCAGGTGGGACCGTGGAGCAAGGGTAGGCAGAGCTGTGACACTGCATGCAGGATGAGAGGGCAGATCTTCCCCCTGAAAATACAAGGGAGATGTGTATTGATTGCCTCACTGTGAGGATGCTGATGCCTTTTCTGGGCTCAGCATCACATCACAGACCACTTCCATAAGACTCAGGAAAGGTACAAAGAGAAAAAGAATGAGGAGAAAGAAATAGCAAGGAGATGTGAGTCTGCTTCTCCTTTTTTTTTTTTTTTTTTTGCCAGGATCCAGAGCTGCCCTCCACCCTCCAGCACGCCAGGAAAAGCTGGGGATTGAGGCAGAGCATCTCCTCAGTGGGAACCCCATGCCCAGGCTGTCCCCCCGCCCCCCAGCACTGCCCTTCTCCCCGGCTGCAGGAGTTTTGTGGAGGGACTTTTTGACAGAAACATTGCAGCAGCCTCTACAAACACACTGTGCTGCTGTCCCTGCCAGCGCTCCGTGCTGGTTTGCCTCAAGGAATCTGTGAGATCCGTCCTGCTGTGATCTGTAACAATATTGGGATTAAATTAGCTTCCCTGAGCTGCAGAGGGGTCAGTGTGTAAGGCCCCTGGTTAATCCAGCGGGCCAGAGAGAACAGAAGCCTCCCTGCACTGGGAAAGGAAAACAACGGGGTCTGTTTGCAATCCGTGGAGCTAATTCAAACAGCATTCCTCAAACAACAGGGGAAAAGAGCCTTCAGAGCAAATGGGAAAGGAGCGTTTCCCAACATGCGCATAACGTCCCTCCTTGGGGAGACACAAAACCTCCAGACTGCACGGGTGAGGTGTCAGAAAACCTGGCAGGCACGAGAAAGGGGTCTGAAGAGCTGGGCAGCTGGTGGGGCACATGAGAACTACCTCCTGCTCTGGGTATGGTGAGCCCAGAGCAGGTCAGTCCTACTGGACCCCACGGGGAGCACTTGGCTGCTGCCTGCACCTTATCTAGGGTGGGATGGATCATCTCATCCCACCCAGCTCTGGGAGGGATGGGATCTTGCTCTCCTGTCTCCCACAGAGAGTTTTACACTGATGTAATTATGGCTCTGCAGCTCGTGGCTCTCAGCACCACAAACCGTGATGACAATCCAGGGGCAATCCCGGATAGAGATGGTTCCTGCTCTGGCTGCTGCCAGACTGCCAGTGCTGCCACCTCTGAGCACAGACAACAAGCAGCCCTGACTGGATGAGAGCCTGGGCTTGCTTGGGAAGTAGAGGCATGCCTGAGTGATCCTATCAGGGAGTCAGCTCCTCTGGCTCCCCTATCTCCTGTGGGAGGGGTGATCCCTGTGCCCAACCCCAGTGCAGGCTGGGCAGCCCCTGCCAGGAACCCAGTCCTTGTCTTGTAGCCAGAGCAAGTGTCGATGCAGTGAACAGCAGAACACTGGGAGAACAGTGTTCCTGGGACTGCAGGCTGCAGGTGTGCAGGTGTTTACAATTTACAATTATAAATAATTGCCCAGGCTATCAGTCATCCTGCAGCAGAGAACCCTCAGAGCAGCAGACCACAGCAGAGCTCTCATCAAGGCTGGGAGTGTCTCAGACACTTCAGCTTTCCTTCTGCTTTCCTTCTGCTTTCTCTGCGAAGTCTTTTCTGCTTTTTGCTTATGCTGAGATATTATCAAGGGCTTGTGAGGCACCAGGGATGAGTAATACACCCTCTGTGCCAGCGGGGAACTTGTAGGCACTGGTAGGGTTAATGTGGGTCTGACAGAAGCTGTGGTGCTCAGTGCTGGAGCTGCTGGGAGCAGACCTGGCTGCATCCCCAGGCCCCCTGCTCTCAGCTGCACCCCAGGGATAAAGGGCATGGCTCCTGGATGTCCCTGTGGTCTACAGCAGGGTGGGTCTTCCACGGAGAAAATCCTTTTCCCCTTGTTGAGAGAGGCAGAGAGGTACACAGGGTAGGAACTACAGAGGGATGAAATCTGAAAAAAAAATGACAAGCTTTTAACATAAGGTTAATGTCAAGTTTTTAAGATAAAACAACATGCTCAAAGGGTGGGCTGGGGGATGTGGGGCAGTTGATGCTTCCTCTGCAGAAACTGGAAGCAAGGTTCTGCCCTCAGCTTTGTTCAGCGCCACTGTGCCCATGTCCCAGCTGGAGGAGCCTGGGCTGCTGGGCACCTGCTGTGGACGTGAAGGAACCCTCCAGTCAGAGCTCTGCTTTCAATCTGGAGTCACTTGGCATCTTAGCCTGCTAAAATGTGGAATTTCATGTCCTTTTGTACGAGAGAGAAACAACGTGTTTGGGATTAATTTAGGATCAGTCTGAACAGCCATTAGTTGAAGAAAACCAACCCAGTAAATAAGCTCCTGGCAGAGGGGGAAGAAATGTGGGACTTGATGTTGGATTAACTGTGGAGGGTGTTAAGGCAGGATTTAGTGTGACTTGCCATCCTCTGCAATGACACCTCCAGCACCAGGGTGCTGTGAGCACGACCCTTTGCCTTCTGTGACCGGCTCTGTCAGCACTGCCAGGATGGAGCTCTGTCTTCAGGGTTTATTGCTCACTTATAAACATTTGCTCCTGACTGAAACTTGATCTACAGCTGTCAAGTGGGGCTACGGTGGTCCAAGATCAGAGAGGAGAAGGTTTGGCTGTTCAACAGCAGCATAAAAAAAGATCTTGGGTTCATCATCTTTTTCATTCTTACAGTCAACGGAGTGATGTTGCCCCAGAGCAACATTTGGTGGTACTTGAGAATTCTCTTGAACAGAAAGTAAAAAAGGTCCAAATAGAAATAGAAAAAGATCTTCAATACAGAGACTTGTGGCAGCAACTGCTGAGCATCTGCCAACATCCAGAACACATTCCAAACACTCTTGTGAGATAACAAGGATTTTGGTGATATAATTTACAATTGTAAAATGAGGGACATTTAATGAGGTGTCAAGGAAAATTCCGGATGAATAAAACTTCCATGTACATGTGCATTGACACACAAAAAAAGCAAAGGAAAAGCTGCAGAAAGGATGAGTTTTCCCTCCCACCTGTTTTGGGTTATTTTGCACTTTTGTGTTCCCACCTGCCCCCACACAAGTGCTGTGCAGAGCAGAGGGGATGGCAGGTGGGGAGTTCAGGAGGCTCTTCAAACCGATATGTCTGGGGGGCTGCTCGATGCCACATCCTGTGCCCATACCCTTGCCCTCCTCTTCCTTGGGGCTGTCGGTCTGTGCCTAGTCCCATGGAGCATTCCAGGGCTCGTGCCAGGGGCTGTCAGGGGTGCTCGGGGACCCATCTTCAGTGGGGGCTCGTGGGCAGCAGAATGTCAGCAGAATGCCCTGGCCCCAGCGAGGGACCCAGGAGGGATTCAGGAGGCACCGTAGGGTCTGTCACAACCTTCCAATGAGCCCATGCCCTGTGGCTTCCAGCTCAGAGCCCTGCGAGCCTTGGGAGTCTCTCCCAGGAGACTGCCAGGGTCCAGGATCCTGCTCATCCCACCTGGCACAGGGAGTCTCGGGGAAGGTGCCCAAGCCCTGACATCCCCTGTGCACCTGAGAGAAGTGGGGTCTGTCCCATAGCCCTCCTGGACACCCCAGTTCCAGCAGAGGAGGAAAGGGGAGCTGATGGCACTGGGAGCAGAACTCCCAGGCTGCTCCAGGTGTGCTGGAGGGCAGGTGTCCAGGCAGCCCCACCACAGCCATGCTGCTCTCCTGAGTGGGAGCATTTCCTTCTGCTGCACAGCCAGTGATGGAAAAACAACCAGGCGGTGAGCTCTTTGACTTCGTGCCTTCCCCTATCCAGAGGATAATAAGCTGCTTTTAATATCTGACATGTTTATTAACAGATGCAGTTGTGACAGCTGATGACTTCATATGCCACTTACCACTGAATTGTTAGTAATAACTCAGAATTAACTGTCATAAATAAAAAAGACTACAAAGACAACTCGATGGTGTGTCACTGCAGTTGTTTACTGAGACCCCGTTGGCTCTGGATGTGAGGCTAGAAGGTCCTTTGTGGAGCTCCAGTCCGGGTTTTGCAACAGTCACAATATTTTGGCTGGATATTGTCTTAGGAGGTGGTACTAGTGGGGTGGAATTCCCTCATGCAGGAGTTTGCACTGGATGCCTTTACAAAGCTGGATACTCTGGTAATAATAATAATAAAAAGCCCCTACCCGGTGGATGGGATGGAGTCTACGGATTGAGACCAGGATTTATTAATGTGCAAATTGCTCTGATATGATCACATACTTTCTGCTTTGCATACGCAGGGAGCAGCGTGGGCTGATGGAGTAGGAACTAGCCTGAGCGATCTTTACGAGCTGAGATCCTGCACATCGCAGAAGGGTTTGTTTCTCTGCACAAAAGCTGGGACCCTGTCGAAACCTTCTTTAAAAAACAAGTGGCTAGAATACTCAAATGCACCAGACTTCTTCATGAACTCGCCATGAATATATTTTTCATTTTTTTTGGCAGAAACCTGTGTGTAACTTTCTCTGGAGGAACCGAGGATTTTTGTAGTTGGTCTTCTTGTATTTTAAATCTGAGAACCCAGTAGAGTCTTTTCCGCAGTGATGAGGGAGTGACAAGTTGGAGGTAAGGGCTTCAGCATGCATGTTTGTGTCGATGGAGCTTTTGCGATGTGGGCTGCTAATGAGGAGCGCGAGCCGTGTCAGCATCCGACTGCGGGTTTGCCTTGTGCGACGTGGATAACGAGTTCAGACAATGAGAGCTGTGCGAAATCACGGCGCCATCCGTGGCATCCACATCCCCCCCACCCGAGGTGTGCAGGGAGTCTGGGCTGCTGCGTGTGTCCTCTGCCACTGTGCCACTTCCCATTCTGGGGAAGGGGACACAGGGAATTGGTCTGGATGCTGATCAGCTTGCTGGAGCTCATTGCTGATCCCGGACTGGCTGTGGTGGATCCTGCAAGCCGTGGTGCAGCGGATGGCTGTGCCCTGCTGCCCTCCCACTGATCCCAGAGATGGGGAAAATGGGGGGACGGGGCAGTTAAGCAGATGCTGTGTTCAGTACTGCTGTGGCTGTGCCTAACTCAGCCTCCTGCCAGGCACCCACGGGGGCATGGCAGGCACCCAGAGAGCGTGGGGTAAATTTGTGCTCCTTGGGGTTTCGAATGTGGGATCAGTGGAGAAACGGTTAACAGGGATCATGGCAATAATCAGACATGGTGTGAACACCCAGTGCTGATGTGTGTGGGAAGTGCTGCTGGATCTGGTGCTGGCTGCCGTGGGTCAGCGAGGGCTCCTGTGGCCGGGTTGGGACACGGGTCCCCAACGAGGCTGCGGGTCAAGGTGACACCTCCACATCAACAGAGCTGGGGTGCTGTGAGATGTGGGTGTGGGTGACCCTTGGGCTGCTAGAGTGTTTTATAGGCTCAGGCATGTATGTTCCCTTGAACAGTGCTGGGGACAGAGAAAGAGCGTTCAGGTGATGCAGTTTGGGTTTGAAGAGGTACCTTACAGTAAAAGGCATTAAAACACGGTAATAGTGGGAGAATAAAATGCTGCATGACAAGGCAGGCACGGAGCCTCCACTCTCCTGCACCGGGGTCAGAGGTACCCATGCAAAAAATCCTGTCACCTGAGTGTCTGTGAACTTGTGGCAGTGCTTACAGTCCTATTTGGGGTGGCCAGATCTGTGCTGAGATCCCACAGGGACTGGGACTTGCACTGAAACATGTGCCTGGAAGGTTCCTCAGCTGGAATCATTTTGTCTGAAGTCCATCCATGACCCTGGAGCAGGTGAGCTCCTGACTCCATCCCCTCATCCCCACTGTGGGACCAGGGCAGCAGAGGCGGGGTGGGAGGATGGTGACAGCACCGCAGGTCTGGGAATGCCAGCGCTGCGACATGCCTGGAAACCACCCTGGAAAAAAGGCTCATTTCAGCTGGATCAGCTCCCTGGCCCTTGTGCAGCCGCTGCAAGAGCAGCAGCACCACCCTGAGGGATGCAGCAGGGAGGAGCTGGGGGGCAGAGCACCTTCTCTGGAGGTGCAGGGCAGTGACCCCCTAAGCACAGCCGAAATGAGCTGGCCCTGCCAGTGTGTGCAGACAAAGCAGAGCTGAGCATAAACCCCACGTTTCCATTACCTGAGCTAGATGTGAGCTGGCAAAGCTCTGACTGCACTGCAGGGCCAGGACTGCAATGAGCAACAGAGCTGGGGGCCAGGTCAGCCCCCCTGGCCTATAGGGACAGCCTCAGAGTGGACAAAGGGGGCCATGCAGCTGAGAGAAGTGGCACCGGCAGCAGAGACTGTTTCCCAGGGCAGTGTGAGGGCAATCTGTTGTCTTGCCAAGAACGGAAGTGCCGGTCTGCCTAAGACCTGGCAAATACAGACAGGCTTACAGTCATATCCACCACCAAACTGCCTCCAGGAGAACCCTCTGGGATTGCAGCTTCCCCACACACTCGTGGGCAGCAGGGCAAGAGGGGCTGGCTGCAGGATGCCCTTCATTGCAAACCACCCCGAGCGCTGCCAAGCTTGCAGAGCTCAGAGCTTGGTCCCCCTATCCCAGCAGTGCAGGGTGCTGTCATCCAACAAAGAGGCAGAATTTGGATGTCCTCAGTCTAGGCTGGCAGCAGTGGCTAGTCTGGAGGACACCCTGGCTGCCCAATTGCTCCCTCCTGCCAGCCGAGTGCCTTGTCCTGCCCCATGCCCAGGTCTGAGGCTGCAGGTTATTTTTTCCAGTGTGTTTTCCTCTGCTGCTGGAGTTCATGCTACTCCTGGCTCTGCAGGACTCGTGTTTCCCAGGCAGTGACGTTTCAATGGGAGAGCCAGAGCACCAGGAATCCCTGCAGGAAGCTCCTTTGGCAGATGGTTCCTGTGCACATGGCCAAGCAGAAAGCCCCAAGTGCTGCTCAGGGCTTTGCCCTGGGCTTTGGGTTTTGGCTCTGCCTTTGCCTGGAGAAGCAGATCAGCACAGGGCCCATGGCTCACCGGGCTCCTTCCAACCTGGAAATTTGCACTTACAAGGCCAGCATTCAGGGTCAGTGGTGGAAGGAGCCCCAAGCACTTGTCTGGATACATTTACATCGAAATAAGAGGGGAATTGGGTATTGAGCTGAATGTGTGCACTTGTGTAGGAGGAGCCTCAGCAACCCTGGTTGTGCTTTTGGTTTGGGTAAGAGTCCCCTGTTCCTCATGCCTGTGGGGTCCCTGTGAGCAAGGCTGTACCTGATGCAGTGTGTGTCCATCCTGCAGAACCCAGGGCACCTGCTGAGCACGTTCCTGCTCAGCAATGGCCCTTTGGAGGTGCTGGGGAGCCCTTTTGGGAAAGAGCGAGGTTTTCAATGCCATGGACTGTGCTGTCCCAAACTGTGTTGTTCTGAGTTTCCTGGTCTGAAATTTGCTTTGGTTCTGCTGTTCCAATGCCCTTTGTTGGCATTTGGTGAGTTGTTGGTCTGTAGGAGGCTCAAGCCCACCTGAGCTGTACATAATAGACACAGGTTTGCTTTCCCCATGACTTTAACCAGATCCCAAGGCAGCGTCCCAGTTGTATTACAGAGCTGTGTTTGCTGGGACAACTCCAGTGCAGTTCCAGATGCTGCTCTGGTTCTGTGGAGAGGCAGCAGTCGTGGATACTGCAGCTCGCCTCAGGGCTCTGCCTCCTCCTCCTCCAGAGTGTGCCTCCTCGGTGCTGGTATGAGGGCCATGGAAATCCCCCTGTAAAACATTTCCTGATGTTTTACAGCGCTGACTGACAAGCACTCCTGGAGGGAGGCCTGCAGCACTGTGGATCACAGGGTTACTTGGAGCAGCTACTGTGACAGGCACCATGTGAGGCAAGCAAGGAGCCAGTGTTGAGCTCCAGGGCTGGAGCTGGGGGCTGGAGCTAGGGGTGCTGCTGACCACCGAGACAGCTCCCACTGCCAGGCCAGGGCAGAGGGGCAGCAGCAAGCAGCGGCCTCTCCTCAGCCTATTTCCCATCAGCGGGTCACAGCACGACTCTGCAGATCCGGGGAATGCAGCGCAGGAGCTGGTGGAAGGAGTCAGACCTCAACAATGCTGTGGAGAGCTCTGCTGCCAGATTGGCCTTTATTATTTTATTTTTTCAGCGAAGTTTATGGGTTGGGGATTTTGCAGAACTTGGCACTGGGATCTAATATCAAATGAAGACCTTCTGGTTCGGAAATTTGACTTAATGCAGCCGTCTTTTATTGCTTCAAGGATTAAGCAGAACAAAGTGGTTGTGCCTGTGCATGTGCAGGGATGTTTGCCGGAGGTGCCTGAGACACCCTGTGGCAGCTGTGACGGCTGAGCCAAGCATGGTGTGACCTTCCTCCATGGAGGGTTTCACAGTGCTGCTCCTGCAGCATTAGCTATGCCAGCAGGAAAACAGCTCTCGGAAATGCAGAGAGAGAGGGGGACTTTCACAAAGAGAACCAGGGCCCAAACCCTCTCGCTGCAGCCCCAGCTGCCTCTCTCCCATGGTCGGGCTGGGGAAGCAGGCAGGGGGCTCTGCCATGGGGTCACCAGCGCAGGCACAGCAGGCACTGGGCTGGGGAGCACCAGCACTGTGGGCACATCCTGTGTGCCTGTAGAACAGGGACAGTGGTGCTGCCTCTGATACCCAGGTGCCATCACTGGTATTTGAGGGGCTTGTTGAAAGTTCCACAAAGGCAGGCTGGGGAATGCGCCGATAATGTGAAGATGGACTCTGCCCTGGGGCTGGGAGGGCTCAGGCTGAACTGTTCTGGGACCAAACTAACCCAAATGAGACCCACTGAAACTGGGACTTCTCCTGCAGGAAACCTGTTCCGGCATATTCACACTCCTTGCTGACTACCAAGGGCAAATTCAAATACCCTATCCAGCCCTGGGTCCTGTAAAACCCAAATTCTCCCCGTCACAGCTGGTGCCCAGCTGGCTGTTGGCAGTGACCTGGCAGTTCCCAGGGGTTGGTTCCTGCTGCTGTTGTAATCGGCCTTGTCCTGCCTCCAGCATCTGGTCCTTCTCTCCCAGGCTCAGTAAACCTTTGGAGAGCCCGTTTACATTACGGACCCCTGGTACATTCAGAAAGAGGCAATATATCAGCAATTTAGTTATTGTGGATTAGGTCTTGAATATCCTGGGGATATAATGTCGGTCTTTCTCACCTTGTGTAGGAGGACTAATGGCAAATTATCTGGATGGTTTATATTTTCTGGTTTGTACTGGAGCTCCCAAGGACCAATTTATCCTGATTGAATTGCAAACAAGGCTTAGTGCCATCTCAGGCTCAGGGGCCAGGTCTCTCCATAAACGAATTCAGAGCAATTCAGGTTACCCGAAATTCTTCCTATCGATGGGATAATGGCATAAATCCTGCTAATGTTTAGACTGGAAATTGTTTGCAGCAACCTGAGCTTGACTGATGGACGGAATAACAGAAAGAATCATAATTCGTGTCCTGAGGTGAAGGTAGGAAGAGCTGGCAGCCTGATCCTTCTGCTGCAGCCCCCTCCGGTGGGCTCACCACAGACCCTGAGTGCTCAAGGATGAGATCTGGAAACCTGTGGATCGTGTGTGACCTGCTGTGGCATTGGCTCTGCAGCACCCAGGATGCCAGTGGCCTTTCTGTGATAAGTGGGCAGTTGTGGTCAAGCTCAGGCTCTCTTCAGGCTAGAAGGCAAGGACACAAAGAGGAAAAAGTGTGCTGTGCTTGTCTGATTTGTGCTGTGGCCTCAAGGTTTCCCATGGCACTTCCCCACCCTGGCACTGCACAAGCCCTCAGAGATGGGGTATGTGGCAGTGGCACAAGCTTCACACTGGCTCTTGGCGCACTGGGGCTGTGTTTGCTCTCTCCAGACATCCATCCCTGCTGCTGTCCTCATGCTGGGGGACTGTGCCCAAACTGTGAGTGTTTTGTAAACATGCCGTGTGCTTCCTGCGAACGCGCTTCACCAGCACAGCTGCCGTAATTAAAATCGAGGGCAGGCAGAGCAGGTGGTGGCACCGAGGGCAGGCAGTGCAGGTGGTGGCACCGAGGGCAGGCAGAGCAGGTGGTGGCACCGTGCTCCCTCCAGCGCTCAGGGCTTATTTGGGGAGAGTTTGGGCCGTGCTGTCCTGACGTGCCTGCTCACACCAGCTCACGTCTCCAGGCTCCTCTGGCCGTGCCGGGCATTGCCGTACCGTGCCACGCTACCGGTCTGGAGGGTCTGTCCTGACTGGCTGCCCCCACCTCGCAGGTGTGCCCCCCACCGTGCCCAGCTCCCTGCACAAGGTGCAGAGGGGCTGCAGGGCTAGAGGGATCCCCACTCTGCACAGCGCTCTGCTCCCTAAACACTCCCATAGCTCGGCTTAAGCACTTGACAGTGTTTATAAAGCAGCTTGCAGCAAACAGGCTTGGAAGTGCAGAACAAGTTGGTGTTTACACAAGTGACTAATTATTTATTTGAAAATCCTGTGGAAGAGCTGTGAGCTGTAACGACAAGCACATGGGGAGTGCTGGGCTCCTGCCCCAGCAGCCACAGCAGGGACACGGTGAAAAGTTCAGAGCCAGGGGGCTGGGGGGACAGTGGCAATGCCCCCCAGCACCCGATGGCCTCCAGCCTCGTCAGCACAGGTGACCAGGGCTGCAGGGAGGTGCTCAGAGCGGGCACAGCTCAGTGCTGTGGTGAGTGCTGCACAGGGCCTGTGGTACCGGGTCACACATCCCTGCAGCAGCTGCCTCGAGGTGCTGCCAGCCCACACCTGCTGCTGGGGCAGCACCCTCCTTTCAGATGTTCTTCTGCCGTAGCCATAACCCACCTAAGGGGTCTGGAGCAGGGAGGCTGCTTGGGCCAGGGGCCTTTCAGACTATCCCCCAACCCGGGGTGAGTAAGGGAGAAGACAGGCTGCCCAGGGCCCGTGTCCATCCCAGGCTGCAGCCAGGCTCCGTTCCAGCACCACTGCCACCAGTCATTTGGGGCATCGGTGACTGTGCAGTTATTATAAAGGGATTAAAACAATTTTCTGTTTCATTTGACTTCACAGAGTGAATGTTGTTGCCTTTATTCTCACACAATGGCTGCCGTTGGCGGGGCTTTGCTCTGCCAGCTGCAGAGGAGCTGGTCCCTGCCCAGCTGTGCCAGAGCTCTTGGTGCAGCCTGAAGTTCACCCTTCCTGCACACCAGGCACAGGGTACAGGGAAAACCACCTGAAAACCATGTGGAAAACACCCCTGGCCAGCAGCCAGGCAAAGCAAGGGCTTGGACATTCCCAGGCAAGAACAGGGCATGTGGAGTCCTAGGCACTGGCAACTGCCCTCTGCCTGGGCTTCCCTTGGCTCTCCAGAAGTTCATGAGGAGCAATTGGTTTGCTGCCCACACTGTCCTGTTGGTGTTGCCATCCTGTCCCCCTGTCCTGCCACACACTCACCGTGGTTGGCAAGGGCAGCGTGGCACTCACAGCGGGGCTGTGGGACACAGCGAGCCTGGGCAGAGCAGCTCCTCCTGACCCTGCCCTGTGCTCCAGGGAATGGCAGCTGGGAGGTTTGGAAATTCCCTTGGAGCAGAAACACGGCATTTTAAGCAGCTCATGAAGGATCCCACCCCGTCCCCAGACAGCCCCTGCCCCTGCTGGGGATTGCAGGCTCGCTCTCTCTTCAGCTCGACTACCAGCCCCAGAGGTGCCCACTTGATGGGAAACATCTTGTGTGCTTGGCACCCGCAGCGGCCATCTGCCGCTCAGGGAGGGCGGCCCAGGGGTCTAGCTCTGTTTAAAACAAGATCCAGCTATAAGTGTTTGCAGCACTGGCAGATGGCAAAGCTGCATTGAGCAATTTGATGGGTGCTCAGTATTAGCAAGAGGGACCTGTGGATGAGGCTGGAGTGCAGTTCTCCCCACGCCACTCGGGGTGACACCAGCATCCCCAGTTCACCCCACAGCCCCTGTACTCGCCCCCAGCCACCATGGGAGTGATGCTGGCTACCGAGTTAACCTATTGTCCTCTTCCTTTGCAGTTTCTGTCAGTGCACCTGGAAACTGTGAGCAGCTAACGCCTGCTGCTGAGCCCCAATGGGATTAAGGCCAAACTCCTGCACTCCTCACAGGGATGAAGGTAGAGCCATGTTACCTGCTACCTAAGCTCACTGCTGCTGATGTGGTTTGTGGATATGGTCCCAGACCAGGCTCCGTGCACAGACTCTCAGCTCTGATCCCACCTGAGACGTTTTAGCGGCAGCCTCTGCTGTGGAGTGGGCTCCCCCGATCACCCTGTGACAGAGGGCCTGCAGCGCTGGAGAGTTACTATGCAGCTTGGACTGCTTGTGGTGGTGGTTTTTCTAAGCTCGATGGATCTAACAGGCAGCAGCAAAGTGGTGAAGGGCAAGAGGCAAAGACGAAGTATGTATGAAACGCTTTTCTTCTCTCCTTCCTCTCGTGATGCCGGGTGGGTCATGCAGGTGTGAATGAGTTCACGGCACAGACAGCGGGGCAGGGTCTGCCATCCCCTGCGAGCTGGGGAGCTCCCCCAGTCCCACTGCTGGGCAGAGACACACAGGACCCTGTCCCTCCGGACCTGCCACAGCCCAGAGGTCACAGAGGGGTCAGTTATCCCCCCTGCCCGGAGGGTCCCTGGCCAGGGCTCATGTGGAGCAGCCAGGTAGAATTGGCACAAGAGCAATCACAAGCGTCTGCCGTCTTTTATGTAAGCTCATGTTAGAACTGTTTTACATTAAAACTGTTTTAAATTAAATTATATAACATTGATTTGATATTAAAACTGGGACCGCTTAGCCCTGGGAGAACAAGGAAAACCTGACATCATGCCTAATGCTATAAAGGGTAATTTCCAGCAAGGGCTTAGTTTATACCTTTGCCAGGGATGCAGAGCTTGGTGCCACAGCTCAGTGCTGCAGGAGGGATGGGGTCACATCGCCCAGAGATCCCTGCGTGCAGGGGCCAGGGCACCCAATGCCAAGTGGCATCCAGACCCAGTGAACCCTCCTGGCAGCCGGGGGCTGGGGCCTTTGGGATCCCTGCTGGGGACCTCCCTGCTCTCAGTGTCACTTCTGCAGGCTGTGGCAGCCCCTGCACCCACACACCTGGCGATGGGGCTGGGGCAGGCATGGGGGGCTGCCGGGCTCTCAGGTCACGGCAAGGGGACAGGGGAGTTCTCTTACCTCTCCTCCTGGCACATGAACCCTGCGCTGCTCTGCGCTTGTTTTTGAAGTGTAGTAAACAAGGTATTTAAAAGAACACATCTTTTAAATACACAGCTTTTCTATAAACAAGGACATGGCTTGCATAATAAACTAATAAAAATAACCTGCATTCTAGCCTGTAAAGAATGCGATTGGTTTCAAAACAACCAGCATTTTACATGATAATTAAAAGCAGAAAACTCTCAAGACATGGGATTGAGTATTTTTCTTGGACTGAACATAGGAGCTGAGAATACATCTCTCTTTTGGGGGCAGTAACATCTCCTGACTGCCAGAGAGATTTTAACACAGGCGAGGTCAGAGCGAGCTCCAGCCTGAGATGCGCCATAGATGGAATCAGTCAAACGGTTTCGCTCCAGGGCCATGTGCTCTGGTCCCCACTGGTCCTCGATGTGGAGGCACCGCCAGCTCCAAGCGGGGAGAGAGCAGGAGGTGCTGGATCCCTGGGTACATGCCAATCGTGAGTGTCTGCCCCACGCAGGTATCAGGACTGATGGGCAGGGCTGGGAGGCAGTAAGAGGGACAGTGCTGGGGCTCTGGGTACAGTTGGTGGCTGCTTCTGGGTCCTGCTCCTCACCACTGCCCCTGTTGAGACTGTGTGCTCCAAGCAGCACTGGTGCCTGTGGGCACTGGGCATGAGGCTCTGGTGCCCGACCAGAGCGGTGCTGGGAGCGTGTCAGTGCTGCAGGACCCCAGCCCTCACTCTGCCTCAGTTTCTCCCCTTCCTGCCCATGGTGCTGGTGGTTTGGGGTTGCAGCTGGTGCCTGCAGAGCCTGGCACTAACCATCGCCTCTCTCCTGCTCTTCCAGTCAGCACCGAGCTGAGTCAGGGCTGTGCCAGAGGCTGCGACCTGTGCTCCGAGTTCAATGGGTGCCTGAGGTGTTCCCCCAAACTCTTCATCCTTCTGGAGAGGAACGATATCCGACAAATTGGGATCTGCCTGCCTTCTTGTCCACTGGGATACTTTGGCCTTCGCAATACAGACATGAACAAGTGCATCAGTGAGTGTGGGGGTGGGAGGGAACGGGCACGGGAGGGTGGCAGGACTTTGCAGGGCATTGTGCACCTTCAGTCATGTGAGGGGAGGGGCTGTGACTGTATGGAAGGGGAGAGCATTGCTGGGCAGGGCAGCCACCTGCCCTGGCAATAACACCGCTCAGCACCACATAGGCACACTGTGGGCACGGGGTCTTGCAGGACATTTGGGCAGCTCTGTTACCTGGGCTGTCAGACTGGCACCCTTTTCCTCTGGCAGGAGGGAGATCCTTTCAGCCATTTAGGTACTGCTCAGACAAGTGCCTTTTCTCCTCCCCTCCTGCTCACGACAGCCAGGCAGCTCTGAGCGAGATCAGTGGCCTGTGGCTGCCTCCTGCGAGCAGAGCACCAGAAAGAGCTGGACGTGGAAACATGCGATCACTCCTCTGGCAGTTCTGTGCACAGCATCCTCCTGGCAAGCTTTCCATCTAGCTCCCTTTCCATGCAGCCTGTCCTGTAGCTGCAGCTGTTGATCCAGGACTGTGCACTTTGGCTGGCTGGTGATCAGCTGATTGCCAGCCTAAAACTTCCCCCCCTGCTTGATTCTGCCCTGGCAGCAGCTGCTGTGGGCCATGAGAGCTGCAGCACAGGGTTGTCCTGTACAGGGAATGGTGCAAAGAAAACTGACTTGTGAGTGGCACAGTCAGGCTTGACAGGATGCTCAGAGATTTCTCAGAGACGTGCCCTGCTGCTGGAAAATCCCTGGGAGCCAAGACTGAGCTCCTGTTGGCAGCGTGGAGCTTATTGTGTCTTTTGCTCACATCAGATTACATGATGGCTTTGGTGTTTTCTTTCCCCAGAATGCAAAATTGAGAACTGTGAGTCCTGTTTCAGTCGAAACTTTTGCACAAAATGTAAGGAAGGTTTGTATTTGCACAAAGGGAGATGCTACATCACGTGCCCCGAAGGCTACGCTGCTGCCAACGGCACCATGGAGTGCAGCAGTCCTGGTAAGTGGCACCATGGAGTGCAGCAGTCCTGGTAAGTGGCACCATGGAGTGCAGCAGTCCTGGTAAGTGGGCTCTGTGCCCGCCCGCTCTGCCTGGCTCTGGGTGGGGGTGATGGCACAGCCAGACCCAGCTGGGACAGAGCCCTCTGGGGACCAGCCTGGATGGAGAGCAGCCCCCAGCGTTTGTGAACTGTGACCCAGAGCTGGTGTGGTGCAGCAAGGAAGGGGGTGCTTGGGAATTTAGGAAGCTGCTGGGGAAACACACATTCCCTTCCAGCCTGGGGTGGGGGAGAGACTCGATGTTGTGAAAAGGCTCTGGGAAGGCCTGAGGGAGCAATCCAGGAATGGGAGTTACTGCTGGGCTCTCTTGTTATCTGGCAGCACAATGTGAAATGAGTGAGTGGGGGCCCTGGGGGCCCTGCTCCAAGAAGAGGAAGCTCTGTGGCTTCAAGAAGGGCAATGAAGACCGAACACGGCGGATTCTGCAGGCTCCCTCTGGAGACGTGTCCCTGTGTCCACCCACCACGGAGGTGCGGAGATGCACTGTGCAGAAGAGCCAGTGCCCTGAAGGTGAGCACAGGTGGATTAACCAGCGGGGCAGGGGGAGGCGGACACGGCCAATCCATTCCCTCATGGCTTGTTCCACCGGAGAGCCTCACGCTGCCTCTTTGCTTTACTGCAGGGAAAAGGAAGAAAAAGGAAGAGCAAGGAAAGCAAGATAATGGAAACAGAAATCGGAAAGACACCAAAGACACTAAGTCTGGCACCAAGAAGAGGAAGAGCAAACAGAGAGGGGCCACGGTGGCCGTGACGCCTGCCAGCCCTGCCCAGTAGCTGGCCCTGATGGCAAGACTCCATTGCTGCTATGTATATGAAAGCTTTACTGAACAGAGCACTGCTACACCACACCTACACATGTCCAGACAGACATATACTCCAGACTGATCCGGAGACCAACAGAGGCCACACACACAATACTTCAGGAGGCTGCACCCACCCTGGCCCGGGACCAGAGGAGGACACTGCCCAGGAGTGGAAGCGCACACAGAGAGGGGAAGCCCACGGCCCCAGGGCTCTGCTGCAGGGAGGAGAGGTGGAGGATGAGCCAGCAAAGGACACAGATGTGAGATTTCATGACCAAAGGCCTCAACTGGAGCCTGAGTGAGTGGCCCCACACAGCTCCAGTGCAGACCCACAGAGCCAGGGGATGACTGGACTCAAATAGCCACTTGCCCCAACCCCGGACCCAGACACACATGGCAGTGGCCTCTTTCTCTTCCCCATACCCTTCGTGTTTTAAGCTGTATGACTTTATCATTGCGAATACATGTTAAAAGTTTGTGGTAAGAGGTCAGTGGTATCTGCCCCGAATCTGCATCTGCTTCAAAGAATTATTTCAAATTAAAACAAACAAACAAGCAAACAAACAAAAAAACAAAAAGACAACCAGCTTCCTGAGTATGTGGTTCATACCTTGGCCCCTATGGAGGCTGGTGTCCCACAGGACAGAGACTCATTTGTGGAAGGGAAACTCACCAAAGCTTTAAGAAAATCCCAGAGAATTCTGTCAGCTGCACTGCAGCCACAAACCAGCTGTCCTGAGCAAAGGACCCCAGCTGTGCCCCGCCAAGCCCCGAGGAATTCCCTTATGGAGGATCCAGTTAACACACAGCAGATTGAGAAAATGAGAGGTTACAGCGTACCACAGGTTGCCAAAACATCGTGGCTCCACTCGGGCAGTCACAGCTGTGGGACTGTCGTGGGCTGGGGACACACTGGTCCAGCTACTGACACCACCCCAGCACATGGCAGGAGGGAGGCAGGCAGGAGGGAAAGGCACAGCTCAGGTTCTGCAGAAGAGAAATAAATTTTGAGGTTGGGTTGAAACAACTTGTCTGCTTACCACCAGCTGGAATTCTCTGGATTCTCCTGCTCTGCACAAGCCGACATCTGGACAGAGGAACCAGGACAAGGACTGTGCAGAACAGACCTAGCAAGGCCCACATAGGGTGCATGGGAATGCTGTCAGCTCTGTACAGGGAGTTCTACCTTTGGTGATGTCACAAAGTGCCACATTGCTCACTGCCTCGCATTTTAAAATGTGCTTCCTTTGTATAATTATGTGGAGACACATTTAATTCCTCCAGAGTTCAGCAAAAGCCCTCTGGTCCTGAGGGATGGAGCTGGGGAGATTCTTGGCTCCCAGATGTGCCCTGGGTGGGTCAGGGACATGGTGCTGGAGCTGCAGCTCCCCTGGGAGGGTGATGGACAGGGGAAAGCTCACCCTAAACTAAACCTGGCGAATCCTGGCTGCACTCACTTCCGTACCTCCCTCTGCTCTGTGGTTTTGGAGGGCAGAGCGAGCCAGCAGGTGTGCAGGGACACCTGTGGAAGAGCCCCCATCTCTCTGAGGGGTCACCTGCCCACACCTGCAGCCCTGGTTCTCTCCTGCAGCTCACGGCTCTGCTGAGGACAAGGCTCTGGCACACCCCAGCTCCCTTCCCCGCCGCCCCAGGGCTGGCCTGGCGCGCTGCAGGCTGGGGGGGTTGCACAGTTGTTTCACCTCCAGAGCTGTACCAAGCTGTCCGTGACTGCTCTGCTGGCAGAAAACCTTTCAGCCCATCATCCACTTTGTGTTTAAGTAAACAAGAAGCTGTTACATCTTTGAAAGGGGATTCCATTTCAGTACAATGATAAACGACCAGCATACCAAGCAGGGAGAGAAAGAGGTTCTTAAAAGTCATGCTTTGAATTGTTTATGGATCATGGTCAGATGATTCCTGAAAGCCTCCCAGCTCAAAGATCTGATCCCATCCTATTTTCTAGCCTGTGAGAGAAGTATTTTGTTTGTGCCATGGTGCTGCCTGTAAGCAGAACCATTTTCCCTTCTGCTTTCAGCAGCACCCACCAGTCACCCACTGGTGAACCTCAGCTCACCCACTCGCTGTGCCTCCCTCCTCCCTCCTGCTGCTGTATCTCCATCCAGTTCTCAGCGAGGATCAGGGAAAAGAGGGGGTGCACTAGGAAGATTTTCTACATGAGGCTCTGTTAATGACTCGATTCCCTGCAGTAACTCCTGGCGCTATTAGCACAACTGTTTCAAAACTAAACTGAGTATAATAAATCAACAGAACCTACTTTAGAGAACTCTAGAGATTTTTAGAAAAACTGTCAAACTTCTTTCTGTTGTATCCTCTTCCCTCCTTTCTTCCTTTTTCATAGCAAAATGGGAAGAAAAAGGGACAAAGGCAATAGGAAGTTTAAAATGCATATTAAGAATATCTGAGATTTTTTCAGTACGCGTAATTTTAAAATTAAATTGGTTTAGAACAATTAGGAGAAAAAATATATGAAATAAGTAATTTTTTTTTTTTTATTTTTTGAATCAGTTCAAGAACTGTGTTTATTCCCACTCCCAGAGAGCAGGTTTAGTTATGAATTTAGGAACATTATGCCTTTGACCAATGTGAGCTGCATGCTGAGCTCCCCAGTCCAAGCTGAGATGTCCCTAGCAAGGTGATGTCACCTCAACTCACACGCACGTGAGCGCTCTCTTTCCGCCCACCAAATAACCCTGTTGTGGTGTTCTCTCCATGGCATCACTGTAAAATACATGTGTTTAAACAAATAAATCAATAAATGGGTTTGCTGAAGCAGCTTACTTTGTTTATTCACCAAAATTGGAGTCAAATCCCAAATAATCAAAAATGTCCACAGACAGAGCAAGCCTCTCCTGAGGGCCATCTGTCTGCATCCAGGAGCCAAAGGAGTGGACACAGATCATTGATGGGAACACCACTGCTCCGACTCCTGTGCTGATCCCACCCTGTGCTTTGACCGGCTCGATGCTGAACTGGGGAAGCAGCTGCTGGACGGACAGACAGACAGACAGACAGACAGATCCTCTGTCGGGAACCCTGCTGCACAGAAAACATCATTATTTTCCCTGCTGAACAACCTGGTGTTATTCTCTGGACAGAATTCCACTCAGAATCTGCAGGACTGTTTCTAGGCAGTTTCCTCAGCCTTTGGGCAACCCATCCCATGCCATGGGGGACAAAGGGCCAGGAATAATGAACAGCTTACAGCCGTGGGTTTGAAACTGTTCACTTTCTTTCTCGTTTGCTGAAATTTAGAAGCTAAAGCAGATGAATGTCACCAAACAGAGGTTGGTTCTATCCTGTTCTTACCTTCTCTGAGTAATATAAATCTGTATTTTTCATCAGATACAGTCAATGAACTGTGTGCACACACACTCCTGATGCAGTAATTCACTGGCTTTCCACCCCAGGGAGGTAGGGGCAATGTATATACTGCTTAGCCCATGTTTATGTTAAAATGGTTTCTCACTCAGAAGAAATCTTGGCTTTGATGAAAGGAAACAGAGTAGAATAGTGAAACAGGTTATCTCCAACAATGTTGTTTGGATTACGTTGTCTGAGAACACTAAAAGGGATAGCCTAGATATATTTACAGATTTTATTAAGTCAATAGCCTTCACAGAGAGAGTGAGAAAGAGATGTTAGGCATCATGCTTTAAAAAATCTCTATTAAAATTACAGAAATACCAGTGTATTTAACCAGTCACCATAAATAAATCACCCTGATGGCCTTTATGTACACAGTAATATATCACACCCAACTGAATGCCAAACCATAGTTTAGATGGAGCTTCTTGATGGAATATCCATGATTTTTGAAGAGCAGCAGGATCTTAGGAAAAAAAGAGGCAGCCAGGTAGGTTGTGTTGTTATTTACAGCCCGAGGTGAAGTGCCAGGTTAGAGGCACTGACAGGGCTGCTCAAGGCCATGGCCTCTCTTGTGCCCCACGGTGGCCCAGCCTGACAGGGAAGAAGTTCCTTTTCCTCACTGTTAAAATCAAACACTACAGGAAAACATTGACATGTAAGTCCTTTAGCCCTCAGAGCACTGATGAACTCCAGGTCTCCATTCCCAGAGTGAAGCAGAGAGCTCTGCAGAATGGGAACAGCTCTGATACCCCACGCTCCGAGGGCTCAGTCCTCCTGGGCACAGCTCAGCCTGGGCTCTCAAAGTCCTTTTACACCTTTTGGCCTTTTCTCTTGACTTGGGTTTTCTCCTCCCTCCTCACTTCCCGTCGCTTCCAGTCCCCGTTTTGGGAACGGTCTGGAATCACTTTGGTTTTTTGTTCAGGAGCCATCGAACCTGGAGCCTTTTGCCAGGTAGTCCTGCCTCCTGCTCCCTTCAGCGGTATCCCTGGAAGGCTATTCCTTGGGAACTGAGCTGGGAAAGCTGCTGTGCTGATAAACCACCTACAGTGTCTTCTGGTTGTGATTTTGAAGATGAGCTACAAAGGCCACTTGAGTCCTTGTGCTCTGCAGGGAATTGCTGCAATAGAGTCAGATGGCTGGTGCTGCTTTATCCTGTCAAATAAAACAGAAGCTCTATACCACACGGAAAAAGAGCTCTGAATACAAGTCCAGTCTTGTTCTGAACTCTTGGAAATCTACTTTTCCTTCATTTAATTGACAAAATGTGTAGATCATCCAAGGAAGACAGCCCCTGCCAAAAATCCAACATCACTAGTTTTTAATAATACAATGGGAATAACCCCTCAGAACATATGTAATTATGGGAATGAGTCATTCCAATGGCATCATGTAACCCCGTTCCCTGGGATTTGACAGGGATGAGGCCATATAAAGCTCGAGATGATTTCATTTCAGCCCTGGTCAGGGCAGTAGTGCCAAGGAGCTGAGGCCGTGTGGCAGAGCCCATGGACACCGAGCTCCAACCTCGCTGTCCCTCGCTGGTCCTGCTGCACCCGATGGACATGGGACAGGAAAAAGTTAAAGATCCAAAGGGGGGGGATGCCTCAATATCAAAGGAAAAGCTGTGAGTCTTAGAGCAACAAAAGATCCGTTTAGAGGAGCAATATCCGACCCGTGCGCTATCAGATACACAACAAACAGCTGCAGCTGCAGGGATGCTGCGAGTTAAACACCAGCTGCTGGCCCCAGTGATGGAATTTGGGTCAGGGAACATGTGAGAACAAGGAGAGCGAAGCAGAAAGGATGAGTTGGTGCCAGTCTGAATGCAGGTCCCACACATGATCAGTAGGATCTTTCCTTAGGACAGAAAATCCCACCCATAGCCCATTCCAACAGGGCCACGCTGTGAGTACAGCCAGGGACAGGGGCTGAGCCCTTACTGCCAACGCTTCCAGCCTGGGAATTCAGCACCCACCTCTGAGGCATCCCCGAGACAAGCTCTCCACACCACAACCTCCTGCCCAAAGCTGGCTGGGTCTGTTCTCTCCCAGAAGGAGACAGTGACTCTCTGGCTGCACCCCAAGATCTCTTGCTAACAATAAAGAAGGAGTTTTCTTAAGGGGAAGGAAGAAAGAGTGGGGGAGAGCAGAGCAAGTATTACTCAACTATTTAGTCTAAAATTTTGAAAATCAAAAGGATCTTCTGACAGATTGATATCAACTCTAATAGAAAACACACTTGTCCCGGGAAAAGTCTCCTACATGAGCCTCGAGTCTGATAGCTTAAACAATTATCTACAATTTGGAATTGATTTTTATGCCCACATTAGTGCGTACTTTTTCAATGCCCAAGGCACAGATAATTCTATTAAGAGAAAAACCAGAACTTGTAGGCTTAAGCCAAACAGCCTCTAAACTCCAGACTCCATCTTACAAAACATCTCTCAGGCCTGACTCATCAGGGCTCCCTTGCACAGCAGGGACTCTGCACCTCACAGCAAAACGCTGAAAATCATTAAAAGAACAAAACCCCAGCAGCTCTGTTATTGTTCTGGGTTTAAAGGAGCATTAGCAGCACCAGAAGGATGTTGCACTGGCCAGGACTGCTCCGCTGCTAATAAGTGTTTAGGAAGGATGGGCCAGGTCTGTGTTTTGGGGAAGGATTTCCCAAGGTGCTGAGCTTGGCCCTGGCCCAGGCTCTGGTATCAATTAACACCATTTCAGTGCAGCTTTGTTCATTTCCCCTAGGTGAGGAGCTTGCAGACTGCTGTTAAAATCTGGCAGTAACACAAACGTAGGCTTAGGCTTTAGACATAGAATTTCCCTAAATTTGATTTGTTACTGCACTGTCCATGCAATTCTTTACACACACATAAAAACACCAGTGTTGTTTCTAATTTTTATTTTTTTTTTTGCCAGTAATCCAGAAGGAACAGCCACGTGTGCCTGTAAACACCCAACAGTACTGCCCTGTGCATAAGTCTCTGCCACACCAGTGCCCCACCAACTGCCCCAGTGCTCTCCAGCAGTCCCAGTGCCCCTCCAGCTGCCCCAGTTCCCCACCAGCAGCCCCAAGGCTTCTCCAGCTGCCCCCATTCATCAGCGGATGGC